AAATGTAATTAACTTTATTCTTTCAAAAAACTTTTCAATAGCTTGGTCTCTTTTACTTTGGCTTCATCTTCAAGGTCTTTGACGTGCTGAACACCTAAAACGCTTAAAAAAGTTGAAATGCACTGCAAAACCTGGAAACTACTTTTTTCCTCTCAACGTTCCATTTTTGCTTCCATTATTCATTTCAGGGTCCGGCGTGCTCAAACCGAGCTGCGCTTTCAACGCTCNTTCATTTCAGGGTCCGGCGTGCTCAAACCGAGCTGCGCTTTCAACGCTCGAACTTCTGCCAACAGGCGAGCATTCTCCTCAGCCAGCTCAATTACTTTGAACTTTTCTGGCGTTGAGCCATTGTTGCTGGTTACCGCAGGCGCTGCCTGGAACTCCTTTGTTAGCGTTTTCCCTTGAAGTTTGCTGATGACGGCGATAAAGGCGTCCGTCTGCTTTAGTTGTGCCTTAAAATGGCTTTTGTTGCGCAGCAACAACTGGTAAAGAAAACTGTAAAATTCGCTGTCTCGGGACCAGGTGGTCAGCGTTTCTGAGAATCAGATCAAGATTTTAATAATTTAAAAAAGGTTGTTAAATGTGTCATAATATTTTTACCTGGAGTTGGTGCATCATTTGCTGGGCGTGGCAGAGAAGGTGGAGGCGGTGGGGCAGATTTGCCCTTTTTGCTGCCATTGCTGGGCACCAGCTCGGCACACATCGATTCACTGTGCAGTTTGGCAAGACATTTTACAAATTCAGTCGCTTCAGCGGTTTTGTTGGCAAAGTACTTGGTCAGGTTGGCTTGAATTAGTTTGTAGAGAAACCAGAAGAACTCGGTGTCAGAGTGCCAGTTGGCGATCGGAGGTGATGGGGCTGATTTGTGTTCTAAAACATTTGGTTAGTTCGGTAAAATGAGCACTAGTTTAAACAATCTTACTTGAATCCATATTGTTTGGTAAAAAAGTTTAGGTTTTGCTAATGTGGAACAAAAATTAAGTTTTAACAAATGTTGTTGCTGCTGTTTATTGTCAATACTGCATTTTTGCTGTTTTGGCGTCCGTGTTTGTACACACGCGTTGATTAAAGATGAAAAAATGTAAGTCAATGAGTAATAATAAAAAGCCTTCTCTTTGTGTCTGTAGTACAGTTTTTAGCAAGGGGCCACAAATTACTCCTGTTGCCAAGATGCAGTCAGTTTGACAGCTGCTGTTGATAAGATAAAATGACTAAAAAGAATCTCTGCTTTGCTTTGCTAGTTATGCTTTCAATGTGTGTGAAGGTAAAAAGCACACTCATCAAATCATCAGCCACTCGTCTTTTAACTTAATTTTAGCAGTTTTTAATATTGCTACTGCAAAACTGATTTATGCTGCCAAAACAAATAAACCAAAAACTGTAAGATAAAACACAAAAAATGAAACTTTTTTAATAAAAAAAATTTGACTAGATTTAAAAGATTAAACTATCGTTTCTCCAACTTGAGCCGAATATCTCTGGGCGTCAGTACTTGGCCATTGTTATAGAACTTTACCGGGATGTCCGTTTCAGCGCATGTTTTTACTTGATAATTAGCAAAAAGATGAAGCAATGCAATCTTTGACTCATAAAGGGCCAACGAACGAGCAACACAGTTTCGCGGACCCTGGGAAAATGGGAGATAGGCGTACTTGTGATAAGTGGCTAGGTCACTAGAGCCAGACAAAAATCGACTTGGGTCAAAAGTGCTTGCACTTGGCCACTGCTTCTCGTCCAAGTGCAACGCGTAAATAGGAATGCGAATAATGTCGCCCGCCTTCACCTCAAACTGCTTTTCTCTATCTTCCGCCTGAACTAGTAAATCTTTGGAAGCCATTCTCTCGGTAAACGTTCCAGGAGGATAAAGGCGCAAAGATTCACTGAGAACTGCGTTCAGGTAGGGCAGCTGAGCCAGAGAGTCAAAGGTGACCAGGGAGAGGGCTTTTGAGGTGGAATACTCCTGATCTTGATCTTGGTGCAAGTTTTGATGATGAAGGTTTTGCAAAAACTGGTCAATTTCAGTGTGAAGTTTGTCCTGAATTGTGGGATGCAGTGCCAGGAGGTAGGTGGTCAGGCTGATGGCAGTGGTGGTAGTGTCGTAGGCGGAAAGAAAGAAGAGCACAACTTGTGCGATTATTTCATCGGTGCTAATGTCTGAAAAAATTATAATATAAGTTTAGAAACAAATCACAGCAACTTTTTGCACAAACAACATGACTGATTTTAAAAATTTGTTTTAAATTTAAAGGATTAATTTAAATTTTTATTTTAACTTACATTTAACCAGTTTTTTGTTTTCTAAATTTTCGTTTTTGTTTTTGCTGATGTCCTTTTTGTCACCTTCTTTCATGTTTTCAAACTCTCGCTCCGTTTCTAGAAGCATCTCTAGAAAATTGTTTGCTTTTCCACTTTCCTTTCCTTCCTCTTTTAACTTTTGCAACTTTTCTCGTTTTTCTGAAATAATTTTCATTGAAAAACTTTTAAAAAAACCAACAATGTCGTCACTAGCTTTGGCGGAAGCTTTGCTCATCAAAGCAAGGACGCCCGGAATGGCAAAAACAATAGAGAGGACTGCCATCTCAGCAAAGCTGACGTCTTTTGAGAAAAGCAACTTTGCCGTGTTCACGATCTTGTTTTCTGGGTCAGAGTGGCTGTCTGACTTGACCCCAAAAGCGAGCTACACAATTTTGATGATAAACTTTTGCAAACAAACAAAATTTGGTATTTTAAAATACCTGCATAATGGCGTCCATTGTGTAGTTGCCAAAAAATTCTTTGATGTTGAGGACGTTGCTAAAAACAAAAAATTGTGCGTTTAGTTTTAAAACATTTTATTAGTTTTGTTTTTGTACCTTTTCACTACTACCGCATCAATGTTTTTCATCAAGGTGATGGCCGAGTCGTCAATTCTGGGTTTCATCAATTTTAGTTTTCCGGTCGAGAAAGTTGGCGTAATTATCGATCTAGAATTAGATTTATGTTTTATACTTTATTTTCAAAAGTTTTCTTTTGTAATACCTTAACCGTTTCCATTTTTCATCCGACGCCACAGTGAGGAAGGCTTGAAAATCTTCAATTTCGATTCTCTATTTATCAAAACAAATTAGTTTTGAGTTTCATCAACATTCAAAAAACCTACTCTTTTGTTTGTAAAATTAAAAAATTCTTTGCTTAAAATGACACCAACTAGGTCAGGGTCGGCGACAAAGATGGTTTTGGTGCCAAAAAGGTCTGTTCCAAAAACTTTCCCATTTTTTCGGACTGCCTCCAGTTCAATCAACTCTGGTCGACGGCCCCAGTAGGCTTGGACCATAGTGTTGGGCACTTTGACGTACTTTAGGTGCTGGCAAGCGTATTGTTTTTTAAGTTTAAATTCGTTGTATTTGAACCACAGTCGAATGGCGACAATGATTGTAGTGATGAAAATAATTAGGTAGGTGAAAGCAGTTGTAATAAACGCCATGATTCTAAAGTTAAATTGTATTATTCAACAATTTTTTGATGTTATATAGCCAGCAACAAAATTGGCTAAATAATAACGCAATGCACCGTAAAATTGAGTTCGATTTTAAATGTCATCACAGCTGCTGTTGCCTTACGCTTGCGTTTGTCTTGTTTTTCTGTCTGTTTATTAAATGTGTGAGATTATGCAATAAAGAAGAAAAACTTGGTTGTAGTAATAAATGAGCGATTGTGAGTGCCAAGGCTGATAGCAAAACTAGTGAACGTAATTTTGAAGGCCAACTGGTAGAGAAAAAGTACCTTTTGCCAGTGTTGCTTTGCTAAACACTGATGTTGCTGTACCACATATTTAAATGAGTGACAAAAAAGATGTTTAAATTGTTTTTGTTGTATACTTGATCCGAAACAAAATATTTTGTGCTAATTTTTTTAAACTTTTTTGTTTAGTTTTCAAACAATTGAATAAAAAATCTGTTGCAATCGATGGCAATTTTTAGTTTGTGTAAGCTTATTTTTAATTGAGCTTTTCATTCTTTCATACACTAAACCAGCTTCAGTCTTTTTCCTTTTTTGTCTATACATGTTTGTTATCAATAACAACTTTAATCTTTTTAACTGTTTTGGTGCATCATTTTTATCATTTTCATTTTTGATAATCAACAGACAACTGCAGCAAAAAATCTAATAAATGGGCACAACACAAACATGCTTTTTATTAGTTTGTAGCTTTAAATCATTGTTGTAAAAAATTGATTAACTTTATATGATATTTTTTTGTTATTTTATTAATTTGATTTAATTGTTGCTTTAAAAATGACCGACAACCTGTCGAGCTGGTGGTCGACTGGACTTGCAATAACAATGAGCTTATCCACTGGACTTTACATTTGGCACCGCCAAAAGGCACAGAAAAGTAGACATGATCTAGAAAAGCGTCATTTAAAGTACGTCAACGACCTGCCCGACCCGGCCACTTCTTTTTGGACCAAAATTGAAAAAATTGAGCAAATTAAAACAGAGGTCATCAAACGAGAAGGTCGCACTTTTGCCTTTTCAATGCTTGGCAGCACTACCATAATGGTTGCCGATGCTGGTCTTGTGCAGGAAATCACCATCCGACATTTCAACAATTTTGTAAACCGCAGGGTAATGGCATTTGAAGTTTTATGAGCTGTAAATTTAAAAAAATTAACTTTTGCATTAGATATTTCCCGTTTTTGACAACATTCTCAGCCAGAGCGTTTTTATGGCTTCAGACAGTCAGTGGAAACGGTTGAGGCAGGTGTTGACACCAGGTAAAATGTGAACAAATAAGTTTTACAATA